GAAATGGCTGTGAAACTAATGTAACATTGTACTTCTCAACAGTGGAGCCTATGTGATATCCTAAAGTAGGATAAAAGAGTGTATTGTACTCAACAAAAGAAAAATGAGATATCAGAAACTTTGAAACTTATTTTAGCATGTTTTTATTTTTCCCTTTTTAGTTAAAAGGGTTTTCCATTTAATAATGATAATCTCTTTTCCTGTAGTTATCACTGTCAAAATGGCAGCTGATTTTGGTAGTTGTACAACCCAGTTTCATTACATTTAGACAGCAGTTTCAGAGCTTATTCTTTGTAACTACAATGATTTCACTGTTTTATATCATGAGGTTTTTATAAGAGGAAAGTTATTCTCAATATATCTGTCATCTAATTTTTACTTTCTATAAAGTATATTTAAATAATAATCGGTATATGTTCCTTTTATCGGAAAACTTGAAAAGGTTTTATTGTCTAATTTCAGCACAATAATTTTATTATGCTGAAATTTTGCAATAAACAGCATTCATTTCTCAGAAGCCTAAAAAACTTGAAATTGTTACTGACACAGCTATTTTCTACCCTGCCCCATTCCCTCAAATCACGGAAGCAGTAATATTTAGCTTTCTTTTTATAAAATGAAGGACAGCACAAATGTGATGACATCCATCTCTTTTAAATCGCTTATTATGTTCTTGAGAAGTATGTACTCATTATTTTGTTTTTAAACAACTTTTTATCAATCCAATTCACATGTATTATCTTTATGAATATAAACACCTATTTATATTTTGTGTTATCTTGAAATATTCTTGGATTCTTCACAGTGCACTTAAAATGATAGAAAAGGGACATTAGGTTGAGAAACTAGAGACCTGAACCTAATTATGGCAAGTATATGAGTTCTGGCAGTTGTGGAAGATCTATAAATGTTTTCTAACAGTTATATTATTAGCAATTATGTGATGTCTCCAGTATTTTTCTGTTTTCTGATATTTCCCAACAATAGTCTATAACATAAGTTTGTATGCTGTATATAAGTGAGCATAGAAATCTGAGAAAGTAAGAGAACTGCTCTTAAGGCAAATTGAGTGCTAGAAAGTAGAATGGATTATCGGGATAAGAAATGGCCTAATTATAAACAAATATCCAGGCAGATGGAAATACTAATACAATTAAAACTTACACCGTTTTAACAAATGTTCCTAAAGTAACAGTTTATGTAAAATTATCTGACTTTATTATATGATCATTCAATTAAAAAGAGTGGACAAAAATATAATTTATTTTCTAATTGTCCTTCCCTTCAGTGGTCATTGTTAACCGTATATGTTATTGTTGGAGGGGAAAGCATCTCTTTTCATTTTGAAACTGTTAACCCATTACTAAACGTAAGATAGTGATTTAAGGCCATTAAGGATACTATAACTTGATGAGATGAGAAGAAATCTGTAGTGGCTGAAAATCACTTTCTAACAGTTACCTAGATCTGCTGCTTTATCTAGTTTACAAACCATAGGCTCAATTTTATTATTCCCCTTAATTATGCATAGTAGCCCCACAGAAAATTTTCTTCAAAGTAAAGGCAAGACTAAACATTCGAAAATATATATATTCAAGGAGAGCCCTGATATATATTAACACCAGGGTCTGAATTAGATATTTAAGGTCTAAAGATGAAATCATCAGAGAAGGTATCCATAGCCTGAAGATTTTTAGGCCCGTGGGGCTATCAAATACCCCAAATTATATCTACTCAGAGGAGTTAAAGGAAGAAGTAAATATCATGAGAACAGTCTCAAAGTAAGAAAAAGAAAACTACCAAAGCATGCTGTAGCTTTCTTTAATAATGTATGTGGAAGACTTCTGAGCAGGCATTATCATTGTAGAGATCTCTAAATTGACAAATGAAAATAATTAGTTTAGCAATTGTAATAAAAGGGACTCGTGTTTATTCTTGGTCTATTTGTCAACCTACGGGCAGTGATTACTGTATATACATTTTATCTTGTGTTTATTTTATATATGCCACTAGTAGAGATGAGTATCTTAATATTATTTACCATTACTCCTAATCATTTATGTATTATTTATCCTTCACTCCAAGATCCACAGCACTTTACTAATATTAGATAATTATTTTCCTTGTACCTTCCTGTGGCACATCCTATTTATCTTTTCCACTGGGGTTCTTTTCCTTATTTTGGAGCACTCACTAAGAAGAATGTAAAAGATTGCCCAAATAAATGGGCTATGTGCTCTTCTTGAAATTTTAAAAGTCAGATCTGAAATTCTAAGTCTGGAAATCTAGTTGAAATTGGGTTGGGGCTATGAAGCATGAATTATATTTTGTATTTCACATTAATAAGACTCTTTTTATAAGTTAATCACTCATGAAACCAAGTTCTCTCAAATGCAGACACCCTTGAAACTTTTTGTTTTCTGGAGTTGTAGTAATAAAATATAATCTTCTGGTGAATCAGAAGATGTTCTTAGCTTTGATTTCCCTGTCTCCTAAAATACAAACCTACAAACTGTACTTAATTTTCCTAGTTTCTTCATCATTGGGTGTACCCAGTGACAGGATAAAGACAGCCAGGTTCCAGGAGCTGTGAAGTCAAAAAATCTGGAAAGCGATGGGAGTGAGGTAATGGGAAAAGGAAGACACTAAAGATGGTACAATACTACAAAAATATTCTTAGTTCTTCTATAACATATAGCAAAGTTTTTGGCGTGTTCAACTGAGAGAAGTTTTTAGGAGTCAGGACTCTCTTCCTTTTGTAACAAATATATTAGTATTCAAATCATAGTCCAAAAGTACTGAAATATTTGTCGTTACATAAGCATCGACACATATGATTACTGCCGAAGAATAGGAAGATTTGCTCATAAGAACACGGTCTTAGAGTTTTGTTTTACTTTGTGTTTTTAAATGAGAGAAATATTTTTATAGTGTGAAAAGTTTATCTGCAGTATCTCCTATTCTACTGATGTGCTTTGCTTAGGCAGGTCACCTAAAAGAGACCAACACTGAAATAGAGAAGTCTAGGCTCTGCTCTGACCTTTGAGGGAAGAGCTGCTTTTTGTCCTTCCAGAGTAAAAAATTAAACACACACACACACAAACACACAAGAGGACAAAATATGTTTTGAATATCTACTAATTAGTTGTTGAATGGCTAAGTCTCCTCCTAATTGTCTTTATCTTCCACTGGCTTCCTGTTCATCTAAATAAGAATAGATTCTGGACCTGCATTGTCCAGTTCATGAGCCAATTTACATTTAAATTAAATAAAATTAAATACATTTACATTTAAATTAAATAAAATTATAAATTTAATTCCCCAGTTACCTAGCCACACTTTAAGTGCTTCAGTAGCCACACATGGATAGTGGTTATCATATTGGATAACACAGATACAGACATTTTCATCATTG